CAATTTTGCATCATATTCCATATATTACCAGAAGAGAAAATAGCAGGTATTTAAATTTTTTATAAATACTGGGGAGAAATCCCTAAATGAGATAAATGACTCTAAGCTGGTTTCCTTTGCAGCAGGCTTCCCACTGTGTTGATACAAGACTCCATCCCACAATCATTACATCCCTCAGTATTAAATACACACATATTTTTTAATCAGCCTTGCTATTTTTAAAAATACCTATTAATGGTATTATTTCTTGCTATGTTGGCCTTAAAATGCTATATCAGTATCACTTCTCTTGATGTTGAAGCTTTTTTAAAAACAGCATCAACAGGAGAGCTAAGGGAAAGGAAGACTGACACCTTGCACCTGAGGTGTGGCTGCAAGGAGGGTAAAAATGGCATCCTGTCTCAACGCCAGATGCATTCTGCAACACTGCGACACTATTTCTCTTCAGCAAAGTTGGAAATTGACTCCTTATGGAGCGGAAGACAATTAATTGTTAATCTTTGATGATATTCTTAGTTAACATCCTGGAAATACCTAGACAGCAGAACAAAGAGAAGCAGAAGACTGCTCCATAGAAGAGACTTGCATTATGTAATTAGCAGGTGTCTAGCAAAGAAATCCAGGGGTCTCCCTATCCGAGTTACAATGGTAACCTACCAAAAAAGGGCCAACCAAAACAGGTATGCAGGAGGCTCTAGCAGCCTTCTGTTGCCCAAAGCCCCCTTTCTTCCTATTAGGATCATGGAATGGAAAAAGACCACTCAGTCCAATATGTTGCTCACTACAGGAATTCAAACTAAAGCATCCCTAATATGGCATCCGGCCCTCTCAATTCCTGGCAAATAGATGGGGAAGAAATGGAGGTAGTGACAGATTTTATTTTTCTGGGCTCCAAGATCACCTCAGATGGGGACTGCAGCCAAGAAATTAAAAGACGCTTGTTCCTGGGGAGGAAAGCTATGGCAAATCTAGACAGCATACTAAAAAGCAGAGACATCACCCTGCCAACAAAATTGCGTATAGTCCAGGCCATGGTTTTCCCAGTTGCAATGTATGGCTGTGAAAGTTGGACCATAAGAAAGGCTGAGCGCAAAAGAATTGAGGCCTTTGAACTATGGTGCTGGAGAAGACTCCTGCGAGTCCCTTGGACTGCAAGGCGTTCAAACCGGTCAGTCCTAGAAGAGATCAACCCCGACTGCTCTTTAGAAGGCCAGATCCTGAAGTTGAAACTCAATACTTTGGCCACCTAATGAGAAGGAAGGACTCACTGGAGAAGGGCCTAATGCTGGGAAAGATTGAGGGCAATAGAAGAAGGGGACGACAGAGAATGAGATGGCTGGATGGAGTCACTGAAGCAGTAGGTGTGAACTTAAATGGACTCCAGAAGATGGTAGAGGACAGGAAGACCTGGAGGAACGTTGTCCATGGGGTCGCGATGGGTCGGACACGACTTCGCAATTAACAACAACAACAATAGCTAGCTGCCCATCCTCTACCTAAACATAGTCAAAGAATTGAAGCCACTACCTCTCTAGGTAATTGGTTACACTGTCAAAACTGTTCTTACTCTTAAGATCTTTTTTCCTGGACTGCAACCAGAATCTGCCTTCCTGCAACTTCAGTGTATTATTCTGTGTTCCACTCCGTGAAGTGACAGAAAATAGATCTTGCCCTTCTTCTGTGTGCAATTCTTGCCGTTAACAACGATCATATCTCCCCTTACAACTTTTCTTCCAAAGGCTAAACTTGATACTACTGCATGGCATGTCGGTGTCAGGAATGGCTGAGAGGAATCCAGCTGGAGACTTCTGTTCAGGCGACTCCATCTGAGCCACAGTTTGTCCATATATAAGTTATGTTATCCAATGACACATCCTCGCATATCAGCATCCCTTCAGTCTTGACAATTACGAACAGTGGTAAAAGGCATTCTGCACACTTCCTTAAAAGATTTCAGGTAGGTTTGCCAAAGAAGTGAAAGACCAGCTTAGCTAAAAGCTGCAAGTGTGTGTGTATTTTCAACCACAGTAATTGCCTGAACACAAAAAGCCATGTAACCATACCTCGGATGAAATGGTCTTCTGTATCCACCAAGCTGATGCAGCATCTTTAAATTACGAACTCAAATAACAGCCAAGGCATTTACAGGAGGCAGTTACAGAACAATAGATGGACAAGTCACAGAGGTTATTTTGTAATGAAAAACACTGAAAAGATGGTAGAGTTTATAGTATCGGAGACCTCCACAGGAAAACCAATTAAGAACTCCCCAAATTGAATCATTGACCCCCCAAGTCAACATTCAGGAAATACAGTAGCCTTCTTGGAACAGACTAAGGAGAAGGATGGTTCAAAGTTTTGATTTTCTTTCACAGTGCTGCTGCCCTGATTGCAGAGCAGCCAAATATAAAGACTATTCAGAAGCAACTGGTCAAATATGGGGGATGTGAAATAGAGAATTTTCAAAATAACATCGGGCAAACTTGACTCAGCTAGCTTCAGATAGTTACATCAACTTTTAGAAGATTGCTTTAACCGGAAAATATCAAAAGGTCTTAACAAATTTTGCAGATGCAAGTCTGATCTAAATCAAATCATTGATCCAGAGACCATGAAAAGCACTAAATCCCCGAGGATTCGATTATGATTTTGATTTGCCATAGTGCAGTTTCAGTATTGCAGACACCATGTGAAGGGTTAAGGGGGCTATGGAAAAAATAGTAAAAAGCTAGTTTTAGGGAAGGTATAGAAAATTTTATTTGAGAGCCATTTTAGCCATACAGTCAAGCAAGGTAAAATATTAAGTGGAGGAAAGATGTTTGTGAGTTTATATGCAAAGTAAAGGATAGCTTTTATTGCATTCTGTTTTTTTATATTATGCATTTAAAAGGCAAATAATAAATATAAGGCATTATATTTTGCCTTACTTCTACCATTTCCAAAACATTAAACTACAAAAAAAATATCTTATGCCTGGATAATTACATTCTTTTCTTCATATTTCTTCCCATTAGTATCACAGCAATTGTTTTTAGAAACGATCATATTTATAAATGTGAATAACTAACCAACCAATGGGAACAAAGTGAAAGCAAAGACTTTCTCCATATTGGAAGTAGAATCTCTGTCCATAATTCAGGTTGTACTACTGTTCTAATAATATGCTGCACAGGCCACTACATGTACAGCAGTGAGTGCATGTTACAGCTAATTATACACAGAGGTATACACATGTAAGTAAATAAAATAATTGAAATAATTGTATACTTAGTATACAACACTATGGTACAAGCAGGGAGACAACACAGGGCATATTGGGGAACATATAACACAGGAACACTTCTTAGAAATACACAAGTCCTTGTTAGAAGTTAGAAAAAAAAATGTCATTCATTATAGAAATATTAGTCCTCCCTGAAGCATGAAAAAATTTAGGCAACTACTGACAACAAATGGTCAGAGACAAGGAAACTATTTTTTTTAAAATTGCTCAAATTCATAACATTTGATTTTTATAATTTCTAATTCAATAGAGAAAGATTTCTGAAGGGCTAAATCAACTTGTTCATATTTGAGAGTATGAGAGTAGTAATTTTAGAACTGTAATAATGCCTACCTATAATGTACTGCAGCTTGACATGACATGGTTAGTGGCATGGCAAGGTTAATTAAAAGAACTATGCCATTATATTAATCATACCATTAAAATGCAAATTGGTAATACCTTCTTCCTATCTTATGATATATTTACAGTATGGTCTTTGCTAGAAATCAGGTGTCTTATCTCTCCCTTTCTAAAGGGGAGGCCAGACTCTGCATTAGTGATTCTAGTTAATTTGGTCTCCTTTATGAACTATAATCAATCCATCTGTAGAGAAAACTGAATTGATACTATAGTAATCAGATCACAAAAATATCAGGGGAACATTTGGAATTCTATACTTTGAATTCCAAGTCCAACACTGCTGTTCCCTGGGACTAGGTAGATGGGGAAGGGGAAGGAATGACAGACCAATCACCTGACCAATTGGAGGGCAGAAATACTGGTGCTCCAACCAGTATGCCTGCCATCCATCCATCCATCCATCCATCCATCCAATTTCTATAGCCACCCATCTCTTTGTTCTCATTCCTGTTGCTTATACAGTAATGGGAAAAGCAATAATGATAGGAGGCAGGGAGAGCAACAGATCTCTCTTGTTGTTTTTAAAGAATAATGGGAGGAGATAGCATCTACAGCGTTTTGGCTCTGGGATGTGAGAATTCCTACTAATTGGAAGTCACTTGTTCTGCAGCTCCAGAGGAAACACCACAAAACTATCTTTGCAATGTTTTTCTGAAATAGGAATTAAGCTTAGTTAATTGCTAATCAACTCAGTTTCTCAATCTCATGTAAGCCCTGCAACATTGTTGGGACACAGGAAGGCAATATCGATTTAAGCTTGGTACTATCCCTATATGTGGAAAGAGCCTAAGGCACCATTCCTGCTGCTAAATATGACGACTAATATTTTTTTCTGCGTATTATACAACTGTGCAGATTAAATATTTAGGATACTTGTCATATCAGGCCGACATTCACTTACTAAAAATCAATGCCTAGCAAGAGCTGTTTGCAAAGTTAACTTTTTTAATCCAGCAGCATATGCAGCAATGTTAGCCACTGCTAAGGACAGGATTTCTCACTGGTAAATAACTTAGTAGACCTGGAAAGAGAAGCACGTTAGGGATGAGAACAGGGACTAGTCAAAATAAAAAAGCTTGGACTTCACTTCAAAACATGAAAATGAGAGGTTGCATTAACAAATAATGGAGACTAAATTATGGACTAAGGTGCTAGGTCTAGAAGCTACATACATTCTGAGCACTGGATAAACTATACAGAAGTATATGGAAGTTGTCCCCCCAACGGATTTTCCTAACTAATGCCATAATTGCAAACAGATGCAGGGGGTCGGCCAGAACTGAAGCACAGTTGCAAATCAGAGAAAGCAGCAAACCTGGACCATCTTCAACTGCGTCCTCTCCAATGCCATTACAATTCATAGCATGTAGCTCAATTTCTGAAGCTGGGAATCTGAGTTCGCACAGCGGACATGGCATGAGGTTATCAGCTTGAGGGCTGTGCCCGGGTGCATGCTCTCTTGCATCTTCATCAGCCTGTGAAAGAGGATAACAAGTCAGCTAAGCTGGTGTTGCAAAGTTTGTTGTCTGTGCTCAGCCTTGATCATTTGTCATTTCTGATCTTCCCTTGGCTTGATCTTCCCAGCCCAGGAACTTTTTTGCAACTCAACAGGTCAGAGAGCCTGACACTGATGAGTGAGCATTATGCTGCTGATAATCAATGCCCCTTTCAAAGACACTGTGTGCTCCCAAATCATCATGAGAGCCAATGTCCTATTTAAAGCAACATTCCCTCTGCCCCAAGTATGCCACTCTCTTGGGGAATAGAATAGAATAGAATAGAATAGAACTTTATTGTTATGATGAATGTACACTAATCGTTGATACAGCTCTCAAAGGGTCACCACCTCCAATATACACTATGTAAATACGACAAAAATAAATAAATACAGAATTTTGCATATACCCACATATATGACACAGAGAAACAACAGTCTAATTTGGATTATGTATACATATGCATGGCGAGAAAAACGAATCTTAAGAGTTTACCAGACGAATGGCATAAGGAACAAAGCTATTACAGAATTGGGTAGTCCTGCTAGAAATACTTCTAAACCTCCTCCCAGAGGGGAACAACAGAAACAGACCGCAAAGTGGGTGTGTGGGGTCTCTAACAATGCTTTGAACTCTAAGCACACAGCGCTTATTAGCAGCATCTTGAATACCAGGAAGCCAGCTTCCTACCAATCTTCTCGGCTGTCCTTACCAATCTCTGTATGGACTTTCTATCTGAGGCACTGCTGCCACCAAACCAGACAGGGATGCAGTTTGTTAAAATGCTCTCAATCGTGCCTCTGGAAAAAGTGGCCAGGACAGAAGGAGAAAGATGTGCTCTCCTCATCTGACGCAGGAAATGCAGACACTGGTTTGCACGCTTCACTAAGGATGACGTGTGGCGAGACCTATTCAGATTGTTAGTTATCTGCACCCCCAGATAACTTTATACTGTTGACCGCCTCTACAGCTGCATCTTACAAATGTCAAAACATCCTTAAATTGAGAAAATGAGAGCATTGGCATCCAAAGTAAAAGTGGCTGACAGATTTTTCAGGCACTGAAGCCAGAGTTTGCCTGTCTCTAGGTGGCCATGCTTCCATCAGTGTGCTCTTTACCAGGATAAAATACACCTGGGAATCTCAAGGCGTCTGTATGAATATTTCCTCTTTACTGACTCCATCTGGTTTCAGATCCACCTATAGAATAATTGAAAAAGCCTTAACATGTTTCCCTTTGGGAGCAGGATATAGTTTAGTTTTTAGGAAAATAGTGTCTTCACTAGAACCTGGTTGATATTCAGTTCTGCAGTGAATAAGTGGCTCATTTCATTTTCCGATGATGGGAATTCAAGTAACAAAGAGGCAAGCCCCAGTTCTGAATTCCAAGTTAACATTTACACAGTTAAGCATTCAGGCTGTGCAGTACTTCAGATTCAGTTTCCCAAAGGTGCTTCCCAATGCACAGGAGTGTGAACACAGCACCTATATCCACCTCTTAAAACAGGGGTCCCCAACCCCATGGGTGACAGCCCAGTACAGGGCTGTGGCCCATTTGAAACTGGGCTGCAGAAGTGGCAGGAATGTGAGCACAGCTCCAACTGTGTGAACAGTGGACCCACGTGCCCGCCGCTTGCACAAATGGAGATGCATGAGTGATAAGCCTAATATAAATGATCCTGTTACTTGTACATGAATAGAAGAAAGTTTGCTTTAGTTTCCAGGCTGGAAAAAAATTGCATATGTAGTTCTTTTACATCCATCCATCCCTCCCTCCCTCCCTCCCTCCCTCCATCTATCTATCTATCAATATTTCTATCTATCAATCTTTCTATCTTTCTATCTGTCTGTCTGTCTGTCTGTCTATCTATCTATCTATCAAATTTATGCCACCCATCTCATGATAAAAGGTGACTCTGAGCAGCATTTATTTATTTATTTACAGTATTTATTCATTCTTGCCTGATGTAAGAGCTGGTTCTCATTTTCACAGGAAGATTATTAGCAGTTTTTACAATCTACAGATGCAAGCCGACCTACTTTCTCAAAAAAAGACAGCCCCTCCCCTTATATTAAACGAGTGCAAGAAAGTCAGTCTCAATTAGCCTATAATATCTATATTATCATCCTCAAAGTAAAGTACTTGGCAAAATTCGTGAGTTCTTACTTTAATCTTTTTTCCTAAAAATATGCTAATCTGAGATCTGAGAGACTTGTTCCTTGGACTGATCATTTCTAGTTACTATTTATTTTAACCACATGTTGCTGAATAAGACACAGTGACTATTCATACAAGACATAAAGCATGGTAAACAAATCACAATGGTTACATTCACAGTCCAAGCTAAAGTAAACTAAACTATTATGGCTTAGAAAATATACTGTGACTTAAGTTTCTAAAAGGCACTCAGCCACATCATACAGTAAATTCTTTGATGCAACTGTTCTAGAAGGGGACAGTCAATAGGGACTCCTTTCTTAGATTCCATCTCCCAGTCCTCAAAATATTTTTAAATACTTCAAAAAACAGAATAACAGAGTTGGAAGGGACTTTGGAGGTCTTCTAGTCCAATCCCCTGCTACAGGCAGGAAACTCTACACCAGTGGTGGCGAACCTATGGCATGGGTGCCAGAGGCGGCACTCAGAGCCCTGTATGTGGGCACGCGCGCCGTCGTCCCAGTCCTAGGCCTTCAGCTGGGTTTTATAAAACCTTTTCACTTTAGGCCTCCGCCGCCGTGTACAAAAAAAAAGGTTCAATCAATCAGTCAATTTCAACTTCTCGTGGGAAAAAAAGATCTTGCAAAGTTGGAATTGATTGAACTTTTTAGTCCCACCCAGTCTGCCGTTACCACTGCAGCCACGCCCACCCAGTGGGCCACACCCACCCAATAGGCCACACCCACCTGGCACCCGACGATGCATAAGTGGGTTTTGGGTTGCAGTTTGGGCACTTGGTCTCTAAAAGGTTCGCCATCACTGCCCTACACCATTTCAGACAAATGGTTGTTCAATCTCTTCTTAAAAATTTCTAGTGTTGGAGCATCCACAACGTTGGGAGGCAAGTTGTTCCACTGATTAACTGTTCTAGACTGTCAGGAAATTTTTCCTTAGTTCTAGGTTGCTTCTCTAAAATTTAAAATATTAAGACAATTTTGTGACTTAGTTCTCAGCTCCTGAAGATAAGAAATAGATTATTCTTGTAAACATGCTCTAATCCTGTTTAATAAATTGAACAGGCCAGTCAGCATACTCTGAGTCCTGGATAATTTTCCTATACTGGATTTACAAAAGAGGCTTATTAAAGCTTTGAAGAATTTTGTGAGAAGGGGCAAAGAAAAAAAAGAGAAATCTCTAGGACATTATTTGGAGGTACTAAATATCAAGATTGTTAAAAGTAAAAGAAAGAAATATAAAGCTGGTTTATTTGATCCAGGTTAAAAGAGATATGTTATCTCTGGTAACTCTTAATAGACTTTTGCTGATCAGGGCTGAACAATAGATCTTTAAGGATTTGTTTGTAGGTAAGAGATGAGATATGGGAACAAGAGATCATTCACTGTGTTTTAAGAGAAAATGAAAAATTACTAAAATTGTTTATACTTGTGGTAAAGGGGGAAGTCATTTGTATATATCTTTTCTTTTTCTTTACTATATTCTTACTTTTTTCTTTTCTATTTTTTTTTTCATTTCTGCACTTTCTATTTTTTATTCTTTTTTTTCTAGCTTGTATTAGTTTTTAACTTTCTATTTGTAACTTTTAATAAACTTACTATATGAAAAAGAGAGTGTGTATTTTCTGACATACCCATGAGAGTTTGCTCTTTCTATCGGTTTAATTGCTCAGAATAGCTATCTGTAATTATCCCTAAAGGGATGTGAGTGGAGAAAACAGGCTGCCTACTGGAACCCCCAGAAATTATATCCAGATTCTGTCTTCATTCCAGGGTGCTGTAACTGTCTCTTGCAGTCATAAAATCCACCCCCCCCCCCAGAATTAGAGGAAAGAAAGGGGAGACAGCAGCTAGCCCCTTGGCTCTTTAAAGACTGTGCCCATTTAATCTATTTCAAAAAGAAACTGTGATGCAAGAGAAATCCTTATTCTTTAAAATTATCCTTTCATGGACACCTCCCTATAGTTTTCTTGGTAGCAGTAAAGAGGAGTTTGCCCCTTCCAGCCTTGATGTTCCTCAGAAGTCTCCATTCAAATAGGAACCAGGCCTGACCGTACTTAGCTTCTGAGCCCAGATAAGATCTGGCATATTTCAAAAGCATTAATTCAGTTTCTATGCCTGTGACAAATCACAGCTAAACACACTGGGAAAAATCCTTTGATATAATGGGAACATAAATTCCAGAAGTTGCTGTCTCATAATAAGCAGACATTCTTACCTACCAAAATCTTTACTTACATCTTTTGTTCCCACCCTTCTTCCAAAAATGTGTGCACTGCTGTCCACTGACAAGAGTTATGAGCAGAACTTTGAGTTAAAAACCATCTTGGGGTTTGATTTGCACACGAGAACCATACTGGTTTAGCAAATCATATCTAATTCTATACCAGGGAGAGAAGATAAAAAAAAATGTACTTTAGAGTTCTTTCTTGGATTTTTTTGTAGACTGTTGTCTACATATCATCAAGGTTACCAATTTTGAGTCTCAGAGTCACCATGTGTTTACCCATCTGAAACATACAGCCTATTCCTTAAAATACTCAAGTTTTCAACAGGCAAACTGACTCTGCTACTATCATATTCTCCAAATATCAATCTACTTAAAGATTCCTAAGCATTTCAAACAAAGATTTGCCAGAACCATTAACAGGTCTGTTTAAATTTTAAACTAGCTAGATGGAATATATTCTATATGAACTAAGATAAGGTTATTTTTATTACGATAAACTAAGAAACTCTCTCTTATTCAGATACAGGTGAAGAGAAATGGAGAGAAAATGTCATCTATGTCCTTAGAATGGCTCAGTTCTCAGTTCCAAGGAAACCATCAGCAGAGGCAGTCTGATTGATGGCTTTGGCATGCTTCATGTTTTGTTTTATGAGCAGTCTCTTTTAAACAGGCCTGTTGCTTAGCAGTTTCATTACAAAATTTACATTGTAAAGTAAGAGACCAATAAGGAATTTCACTGACTGACTGAACATTGCTTACATGTATGGGGATTTGTATGATTGGCCTTTAAAAAAAAATCTCAGCTTTCTCACCCTGCTGGCATGTGATCAGAATTAAATTGCAGGCAAACCCTCACAAAATCCTTTTTTTTTTAAAAGAAACCTTAAGGCAAATAATTAAACTGAGGTGGGAATTCTGTGGCTGTTAAGTTATATGGCAACTATTAGTACACCACCACATCTTCTGAGTATTTCACATCTTAACATTGCAACATCTCATTTTTCTTTGGTGTGTCGTGAAGATATGCTAGGCACAGAATGAGACATGCCAAAGATGAGGCGTTCTGATCAAATCGGTGTTACCCTAATAAGATGACACTTAGAGAGATGTGAGGAGCAGTCTATTTCTACCCCGTTTCCACTCTATACAGCCTTGCAGCGCAAATGCCAGGTGTCCAAACAAACTGCTTACACTCCCAGAGTAAATAACTCATTGAAAATGTAAATGCAGTATTGTGTAGCAACACTTGTCAGTCCCTTCCCTCGGAATGGCTTTTGATAAGACGTGGGAGAATGGCAGAGAGATGCTTTAACTGCATGATTGGCAGGCTAGCCAGCCAAGGGGAATGCCACAGTATCCCCTGCAGTTTGCAGCTGAAACCTCCTCTGTGGGCCAGCAAATGAGGCAGCAACAGTGTGGATAGAGAATCAAGCTTGCTGAATAGTTTTGTCTCATTAATTGCTCAGCCACGGAACTCAAGATACTATTATGCTTCGTCTAACTCTGTTTAACCTGAGGATTAAATCATGCCGTAGCATTTGGATCCCTCTGCTCAACACCACAAGGCAAGTTGTAAGATGGGCTACTTTCTTATTCCAAGTGATTACCTGCTGCCTGCCTGCCTAGTTCTTTTATTTAATTATTTTAAATATTTATATACCTCTTATCATGGAAAGGCACCTTCGTATATTGCATGGTGTTTGAAAAATGTGTTTTAAGTCCAGGAATAGATAACACAGCATACAATGATGAAATACGTAAAATAACATTGCAACAGCTATGAGTAGTTCAATTGCACCTTCATAACCTTTCAAATGTCAGGAGGAATAAAAAAAAAAAAAAAAGACTTGCAGCCTAAGCCTAAGTTGTAGCAAAGCCTTATTTATACTTTCTTTCGAGGGAAATGTCATTCCAATGAATCGGCACCACAACAGAAATCCTCCCCCTCCTAACTCCAGCCCAGAACCCCTTCATAAAATATAAAGGACCCTCTCCTAATTGAGACCACCCTACTGCCCTTTTAGACCACAAGCACTTGGCTATTCATTGATATACTCTCTCATACAGCCCCAAATTCTAGCAGACTAAGGGCGCTTGGCCTTAAGTGGCTAAGCCAGGGGTCTGCAATCTTGATAACTTGTAAGACTTGTGGACTTCAGCTCCCAGAATTCCTCAGCCAGCTATGCTGGCTGAGGAATTCTGGGAGCTGAAGTCCACAAGTCTTAAAGTTGTCAAGGTTGCAGACCCCTGGCCTAAGCTATGTATTAACATGTCTATGACAAGGTTATGCTGCCTCTCTATACTATAGCCATCTTCGTATAAACACACACCCTGTGGAGGCTGGGGGGGGGGGACTCTTAAGAATTAGCTTTTCACATACGAGTCACCTCGTCAAGCATTCTTCAATTTGCTGCATTCATGTAACCTGTCAGAACAGCACTTGGAAGTTCTTCTGATATCCCCTCCCCCTTAAATTGCAACTTAACTATTTGTCTTTACCAGAAACAGCAACTGAAGTCAGATGTCATTGTTATGACAGCTGCCTGTGACTGTAGCACAGGTACACTGAAACAGGGAGAGAAAACTCAACCCAACAGCATTCATCTGGTGATAATGATACAAGCAAGAGAAGATTTTTGTCTGGGTTAATTTAGAGAAGCATCTAAGCTCGTTAAATGAAAGCAGTAATACGAACGTAGCCATCAGTCCAAAATTCAACAGCACCATTCAAGCCAGCATTGACACCACACATTCTGCCCAACTCCGTTTCCATAAGCAACGGTGGGAGTTTAATCTCACTGTGAAATCAATTTTGCTCTCATGCTTGTAACATGAGCCGGGAGCAACTAGTTGCCCTTCCACAGTAGCATCCAGTGGTGTCCTCTGGCATACTTTAGCATATTACTGCTCACAAAGCACCATACGGATAAGTGTTGCACCCAAAATGACAAATGTGAGAAAGTCAACAGAAAACCCTTAATGAACAAGAAGTGCCATAACCACGGAGGAGAAATTGATGATAAAAAGAAAAGGAAACACCAGGAGGCCCGAGAAGAGAGCACGCCATTTCTGGACGAGATTTTCTAGCAAGCTGCCTAGTTTGCAAAGCAGCTCATTTTGTAAAATGGGTAAGAAATGAGACTTCGCATTCCAGATGCTTTTACTGGCTGTTATTCCCTAAGGACTTGCTTACCTGCGGAAAGACATCTTTGCTGGATGAATGGATTTCTCCACTCTCAGGCTCAACCGCTTGTGATGGACTCTGCTGGGTTTCTGCAACAGAAATCTCCATGTTAAAAGCAGCGGCGGGGGCAGCCCACCCCCTTCCTAGACTCTGTAAGCCCCTTCCAACCCCCTCCCGCTCCCAGCACACTCCACACTAGCTGATAAAACGTATCCCCATTTGCTTTACAGTGTCTTCACAGTTTCTAAACATTTTTTAGACTTGTCACAAATGTTAGCAGACAATGTGCAACAACACAGCTGAAGTAGAAGTTTAAAGCCATAGTGCAGCCATGTGTAGATAAAACTAATGCCACTCTATGGCTTAACGAGAAACAGGGAACAGAAGGGCATGTAAACTGTACACTGTTGGTGCAAGCTGGTGAATAATATTATGCAAGAATAAAACCCCTCAGCTCAGCACTACGTGGCCGGTATTTTCTTTGTATCCTTATACTTCCCTCGATAAAAACCTTAGCCAAATCACCTGTAGGAAACCTCACAATTAAACTTAATCCTGTGTCAAATATACAACGGAAAAAAGCTTGCTTTAAGAAAATAATGTCAGAATTAGAATGGCTTTGGAAGAAAACAGTTTAACCTTGAACCATTTCTCCTTCGCTGAATCAAGTTGTTCATTCAGAACTAGGAGGAACAAGTATTTCACTCAGTCTCTGAAAGACAGGATCAAGAGATCTTGTCCTGTTAAATCTAACTAAGAAAAAAAGGTCACTATAAAGACTTACCAAAATAGCACTTATTCAAAACAAAGCAGCTCAGCAAGTATTACTTATTTCACCCTCAGTCTGGTGCCAAGCAAACAATAGAAAAAGGAAAATAATGGGGCAAGAAGCATCTGCAGGCAATATACCATGGAAGCAAAGGGCTTATGGGGGGGGGGGGGAATGCTCTGAAGTCCCACTTAATAATAAACAATATGGGCCTGCCTGAAAGGAAAGGACATAACCTTTCTGACTCAAAATTGCAAATAAATTGTAGCAGAGGTCATACCAGGGCACACAGTGATTTCCTCCTCAGCGTGATCCTCTGTGGCAATGTCTGGGTTCTTCGTATTGTCCAAGGGAGTCAAGGCAGAAATGCTGCCAAAACACAAACACATGATAAATCAAAGACACAAAGCATTCGATGAAAGGCGGATGGAATTCTGTAAGCTCTGCTTATTCAAAGAGGGTAGCAGGAGAGAATGCAACAAGAATAAAAAAAGTGTCTCAAGAAAAAGCCTGCAAACAATTTGCCTCCCCACATGTCCTAAAAGAAATGTGCAAAAGGAAGGCTGTTTACTGAGATCTCTAAATGTTTCTTTGATGCTTTTTAGTCCTGGTCACAGGAATATGCCAGGTAGCAAAACAGCCATATGCTTAGTAACTCCTTAAAACAGAACAGAGTAATGATCTTTTTGACAATGAACGCTTCATTATCCATATTTTACTGATCAGTTTTTTCTGTTATCATCACTACACTCAGAAGGCAGGAATCTGACACAATTCAATGTTTCTGTTTAGCAAAGACTTGCCAACATGAAAACAGCATTTTTTTTTCTTATGCTACATTCAACTTTGCCCAGTTCCTCTCATTTCCACTTTCCAGCAAAGTCATGTTGTTTCCATGTCATAAGAGAAAGAGGCTAAGCTACTACAACATAACCATCCTTTCCTACTTCCCGTGAATTCTGTGTAGTTCCCTTGCTGGAGTGATCAAATATGCAAGTGTATATATAAAAAACATAAATCCCAGGACTGACTGAAGAAAATAGTTACTAAATTAAGCAGCCAGAAACGGTCCTTGCCAATTTATGATAAATAAGAAAATTCTAATGGAAAATCACGTGACTTCTCTCACTCTTTAAATAAAATAAAACTACTAATAAATATTAAATAATCATTTAACATAACTGTTAATAAAACTACTTTAAACCAGTTGTTATGAAGCCAAGCTCCACGTAAACTATCAAGATTTACATCAAAAGGCCTCATGCTAAACAATTTGCTATGACCTTTATAAAACAGGCTAATCAACCTGAAGTCCTCATGCATTGCTTGCTACGTCAACTATCTCTTGGTAACAAAACATATAACCATTTATTAAAATCTCAATCTCTGTCTCTCAATCTGTACTTTGCATAAGCTAGGAAACAATAAAGCTGAGTGGTCCACGGAAACCAGCAGAGGAAAATGTCTTTGGAAGAAACCATTTCCAAAATTACTCCAGAAGCTGAAGAACCAAAGAGCGTTTGAAACCTACTAACTTGGGTGCCGTGCGCCATCCAGCACGGGGCTCTGCTGGCCAAGGGCCACTTGCCAGATGGCAGCTTTTAATGTGCACAAGACCGAGAACAGCATGGCTATGGTTAGTTCAAGGCAGATGCAGTTTCTAATGAAATTAGATGTCACAGTATGGAATGGTCAGCCTTGATCCCAGAGGTCTGATGAGGTCTTAAGAGATTGATGGTTTTGCATTATGACCATTTGAAATGTAGATAAATGCCATCCAGAATTAGGGCTTTTCCTTTTAAATGCTAGCTAATGAATACTTCCCAAACAATGTCACAGTGAAGAAACAAGAGGGTTTTTCCCCCCTCCTTTGCTTTTCCCCATTCAGTCCCTCCTGACAGTAATAGTGACAAAGAAACTGACCCACACTTGAATATCTCACCCCCCCAAAAAAAGCATTACTATAAAAAACAAACCAACAAATTCCTTGCGTAATTCTGTACATATTATTCCTTCCTTGTTGCAGAGTGGGAAGAGTTATCACATCAGTTAATCTGCTCCCTCGTTCAGCATTCAGCCAAAATGTTGTTAGATCAATGAGAAGAGGATATCAGGCAGTGAAAAAGTGGTGGCCTCATGCCAAGGCCATTTAATTATAAGACCTGGGAAAACAACCTAAGAATTAAGTGGCTTTTCCCAGCAACTTCTGATTGAGCACAAATATTGGAACTTTCCTGGGAATTTATTTCATGAAACACTCCCTGACCTGTGCCATCTCCTCAAACAGCCTTCATTTTCTGAGCTTGCACATTTAATTCTTGCTTTACGAAGCTTCTAAGAAGCAGACTTCAAAGAATATATCCCTAGAAATGGTCATCTTGCTATTCCTGCTAAAGAAGGTACGTAGCAGTGACCCAAATGTAAAAAGTAAGCAGCAGCTCCCAGTCCTTCTGTTTCCTTTTCCTGAAGGAAACAGACTTTGAAACTCCCAAATTACATGCCTCACTCGTTCCTACCTTATTTGGGCTTCCAAGAACATTGTTGTCTCAAGGAAACAAATATTGTCACTATTAGGTTGATTTTCTTAGATTCCTCTTCTATTCTTTCCGTTTCATACACATCCACATTTGTGCGTGCACACACAGACGCATACACAAAACCCATGCCTTCATACGGACTCTGGATTTATTGCTGTCGCTATTCCCGAAAGCCTACTGCTTTGAGCAATATCAAATTAAATCATCACATTTTTCTGGCCAGGAGCTGTACTTATGAAAAAATCTTTGTTGCAATGGATACTTTTTCCTTTATATTTTAAAGAATGGGGCACATTTCCGATGGCTATTCTCTTCTGCTGGACCATACATGCAATATAAGTAGTCTTGCTTAGTAACCATTTTGGTTATTACAGAATCAACAGTGATGAAATATATCTCCTTGCCTTTGTGTAATCTGCACAGGCTCCCTTTCTTCAAGCATATCTTCTGCAAACAGCACTTGGGAAGCCTAAGAAGAAAAAACGTAATTATTATTTGACTATACATTATATTATTTCTTTCCCGATATTTTATTAAATTTTATCAGGGTATGGGAAAACAAGGATCATTGTGGATAGTGGAATTCGGGATAAGGTTCAGAGTGGGAATGGGTACAACAATGCGGTTACCCCCAATAACATTCCACGCTTTAGCAAGCAAACTATCATCCGGATACAAGTGTTCAACAGGGTTAATATAATAATAAGTAACTGTGGTCAACAAAAGTAGCAAATATTGTAAAACATATCAATTAATCAAAAGAAAAAGTCAATCCTCTTAATAAGTTTCACTTTTCGTTAACTCATTTTGCTAACCATTGACACAAAAATTTCCCATATTTTAAAATAAACTGAGTCTTCTTTCTCTTTAATCTCTAACGTTAATCTGTCCATTTCTGCAGACTATACATTATATTATTGACTATATTTACAAGTAGTCCTCGACTTACAGCTGTTCATTTAGTGACCGTTTGAAGTGACTCACAAAAAAGTAACATGATTTTATAATCAGAGATTTCAGATTGCTGCTCAGGATGTTATAATTCTAAAGGAGATTTGATGAAACAAATTAAAGATCAAAATCGAACTCATATAAAAAGAGTTTATAATGTTTTAGTGGAATTGGATTCAGAAACAGAATTAGTTAAAGATTGTATGGTTAAATGGGCTCAAAATTTTGAAGAGCCGATTTTATTAGATACATGGGAGATAATTTGGGTGAGGAATGTTAAGTTTACCCAAGCTCAAAATTTGCGAGAAAATTTTTATAAAATGTTTTATAGGTGGCATCTTGATCCACAAAAGCTGTCTCGTATGTATCCGAATGTACAGCCCAAATGTTGGAGATGTGGTTGTTTGGATGCAACGTACTATCATATTTGGTGGTCATGTAGAAATATAAAGGCTTTTTGGATTAAGATTTGGTGGAACATTCAGAAGATTTTTAATAGAAGGATAAAATTTACACCACAATTATTTTTGTTAGTTATTATTGAAGATTGTGATGGCAAAGAGATTACTTTAATGTTGAACTTTATTACGGCGGCAAGGTTCTTGATTGGGCAATATTGGAAGAAAGATTCCTTGCCTACTCTAGAGGAATGGTTTCTTAAAGTTTCTTATTTATCAGAAATGGCAAAAATTTCGGCTTATCTGAAAGACAATTCACAAGAGAGATATAACTCTGTGTGGAAAAGATGGGTAAATTTTGTACAGAATAAATATGGGATTAGAAAGTATTATTTAGCTTTTGAATAATTTATAGTTTAATGTGGCTATGGTTGGATTTATTGTTTCTATGTACTGGAGTTAAAGTACTTTTAATTTTTTGGATGTATGTATAGTTGATTGATGTTCATTTAATTTGTATGGGTTTTTTTGTTTTTTTTTTAACCCTGTATTCAGTTCTGGGAAGGAGGGGGAGGGTTATGGGGGGGGTGGGAGGGGGGAAGTATTTTATTGTAAAAACTTTATAAAATTTTCAATAAAAAATTTTAAAAAAAGTAACTTATGATCATTTTTCACACTTACCACCCTTGCGGCATTCTCCGTGATCACATGATCAAAATTCAGAGGCTTGGCAACTGATCCATACTTAACAATGGCTGCAGTGTCCCGGGGTCGTGTGATCACCTTTTGTGACCTTCCGACAAGCAAAGTCCACGGGGAAGCCAGATTCACTTAACGACCGGGTGACTAAGTGAACAACTGCAGTGATTCACTTAATAACTGTGGCAAGATTCACTTAACAAATGCCATGCTTAGCAACAAAAGTTTGGGGGCTCAACTGAGGTCGTATGTTGAGGACTACCTCAACTATTACACATCTCAAGAGACCCAAAGATCATCTGATTTCAAAATCAAAAAAGTTAGAAGAAGAAGTTCCCAAAAGGAAAAGGTCACCTAATACTTGCTGGCAACTCCTTCAAGAAGCTGGGTCTTTTCCTGGGAATTATGGCATACATTCTTATTCCCCTAGAACAGTGATGGCGAACCTATGGCACGCGGGCCAGAGGCGGCACTCAGAGCCCTCTCTGGGGAACGCCTGCCACCATCACCACCAGCTCGCGCAGGTCCATTAGGCCACCGCTGGCGCCCGGAGTGGCTGTCCCACCCAGCACAAAGGAGGTGAAGCAGCTGGCTAGCAAGCTTGAGTAGAGGTGGTAGAGCACGCCCCCCCCATGAGCTCGCTGGCCTCTGTGTGCGGGGGCTGATAGTATCAGGCAGCAGCCGCCCCCACCTCGCCTCGCAGCAATGGCACCCCCGCCTTACCCCCTGCCTCACCCCGCAGGATGAGCCGCCTGCCCACTGCCCCACCCACCAGAGACCCCCTGGATCTCCCCCAATCCTGCCATGCCCACCCAGTAGGCCACGCCCACCCCAATCCCGAGGGTACCACAATGCTGATGCAGCCCTGGCACTTTGCGATAAATAAGTGGGTTTTGGGTTGCGGTTTAGGCACTTGGTCTCTAAAAGGTTCACCATCACTGCCCTAGAAGTGTATTTAAGGAGGTCTCCTTCAAATCAAATCGCTACAGGGTCCTAATAAAAGCTAGAAGAAACTAGATAACCACCATAACTAATTTCCCATAATTAAGTTCTCATCAAGGAAATCTGCTTAAAAACCAATACCAAAACAGAAAACAACACAAACCAAGAATTGCAGCAAAGAAGGCAATGCTCTGTTGGACAAGTTGGGATAATAATCATAACAAGAGTTTGTTTTCATGAAACCTAAACTCAAAAGTTAAATTCAGAAGCAAGGATGTTATAAAAGCTAACTCTGAAAAAGAACCAATCTGGAGAATTAATACATTTCAGATATTAAATGCATCCCTTTATTGTCTAAAAGAGAAATACAATCTTGCAAAATGTTTTGTGAATGTGTGTGTGTGTGTGTGTGTGTGTGTGTGTATACATACATACATCCTGAAAAATGAAGTCCACATCAGAATTAATCAGTTGGAAATAAAGTTGACAAATGGATTATCATTTCATATCTACAGACATTAGTGAGAAACTAATTGTACTAAGTGCCTATTCTGAAAAGTAAATATGTTCTACTATACAAATTTTAAATGAAGTGGCTTTCTGGATTTGAGAATTCTTCCAGGGCCAGGTGCTAAATATTTACCTATCTGTGTTTTTCTACACACAAAGCTTTTTGGTGTAAAAGAATAAGAAAACATTCTGAGAGCAGAAAGCTAGAATCTCTAGCCTGACAACTGTCACACTCCTTATTCTGCTAAATTTGTGATTATGTTTTTCAATTCTCTTTTCCCAATCTCCCTCCTCCCACCCACATTTACTCTTCTCTTTCTCTCTTCTTCCTACGTCCCCATATTTTTTTTTTTTTTGTCAATTTAAGCAAACATACTGTGAGTTATCCATTTTGGGTGAAGAATATGGTCCTAACTACAAGTGGGGACAAATGCTATTACACATAATCTCCTTCCGACTATGTTTCAAGAGCAGAGTCAATGCTATGGGAAAAGCTTGCAAACACTGCTTAAAAGGGGAAAGGCAAATAGCCCTAGGACTCAGCAAGTATACTTTTCCAGTGTGTATGTGCCATCAGGTAATATATTTGAATCCTGGCACCTGCCTAGATTAGTCCCTTGGCAAGATTTTTCGAAAATGGTTTTGCCTTTCCTCCTTCCTAGGGCTGGGAGAGAGAATGATTGGCGCAAGGTCACCCAGTTGACTTTGTGCCTATAGAAATCACAGTCTTTTGGCTTCTACCCTGAGGCCTCTACATCAAACTGGCTTTTCCTTTGCACTTTGCAAAGAACCTCCTCTTATATTCTTAAGACTGTAGAGTAGATGTTTAAAATACAATACAAATGATCAACCCCAAATTTATCTTTCTCAGTTCCTTTTTTTAAGGGAACATGCTTATTCAGATTCAGAAGATCTTAATGTTTGTTCAATCAGTCCTAGAAAACAAATTAAGAAACTGACTTCCTTCCTTAACAAGAAACAGTCATAATAATTATTCTTAATGTTAAATTAGATAGATTTGAAGCCTCTTGTCCCCATACCAAAGCATCCCCCTCTCTTTTTGAAATAATTATCCTCAATCCAGATGATTAAATTCCTGGAGACTAAAACATATGAAGAACAGTTGCAGGACTTGGGTTTGGCTTGTCTAGAGAAAAGAAGAACCAGGGGGGACATGATAGCAGTATTCCAATATTTGAGAAGCTGCCACAAAAAGGAGGAGGTCAACTTATTTTCCAAAGCACAAGAAGGGGGATGGACTAGAATACCTCCGAAGTCCTTTTCAGCTCTATTTTGATTGACTGAATCCCAAGTAGCTGCCCATAAAATGGAGGAGAGAATGGAGAATTAGCATGATTAGAGTATTCGCAACAGTTTCATGGGAATACTATTTTCAGCAGAAGTCCACAACTGCTGCAACCACTTGTTTCACTCTGGACAACAAATAAGAAAAATGTTCCCCTATGTCAGTGTTTCCCAAACTTGACAATTTTAAGGCATGAGGATTTCAACTCCCAGAATTCCACAGCCAGCAACGCTGGCTATGGAATTCTGGGAGTTGAAGTCCACATGCCTTAAAATTGTCAAGTTTGGGAAACACTGCCCTATGTCAACAGAAGGATATGCTTCTTCCTGAAGAACATATGGAGCTTGAAAGAGTCACTCAATCACTTTAACCATTTTAACACAATTACATGTAATCACAGTAAGCAAAGAATCACTAGGGAAGACTGGAAGAAACTGTAGCTGTTGCCTTCATTTTGCAAGTGAGCAAATGCAAGTATCATAGTTAAATAGGCTTGCCACTAATGCAAACCACCCGAAAAAGCACCTTGCAGATTTTACATTGACAAGTTATTCAGCTACATACTGTAATAGTAACAAGTGGCTCAACCAAGCAGCTGGCTGATAGCATCTGCTTGGACTGAACAACTAAGGAGACACGTTGGCACTTTAAATACATTAGTGCTTCCACTACTGTCAACACAAAGGGCACTGAAACTGTGACAAAGTATGCTGGTAGGTAATTACAACAAAGAAAAATACGATGCTCAAATGAAGCTTAAAACATGGAAAGTAACCTTTGAATAATCTGCCCACTGCTTCCATGTTCTATTTCATGTGGAAGAAAGAAAAGCAATGTTAAAAATTACCTGTCGCGAAGCATATTGTTAGACTTGGCTGCCTTCCTGCCTTTACTTCTCTGTTCTACTATTATAAAGTGTTTTTGTGTCTATTTACAAGTGAGGACTTAAGCTTTTTGCATTTTAATTGTATTTTCAAGTTTCCCCAATTATGCCATTTGTCTCTTGTGGTCCTAAAGCAATTTTAAATGTCAAGACCATTATTCCCCAACTTGAGCTGCATAAAAAGCTCAAGAATTCAGCAGTGATGGAGGTTTCCTGTGCATTTCACTTGCCAAAATACATTCCAAATTAAATATGGTCAGAAGTTCCAACAAGAGAACAGAAAGTTTGACCTTAAACCATTCAGGTGAAATTGCCAGCTTATCGTAAGTGAGTAAAGAAATTGGGCACAAAGCCAACTGTTTCTCTTTCCAGGTCATCTTTAAGGTTGTTTCAATATAACCACTTTGGATCCAAGTCTGTGAGACCTAAAGCACAAACTGTACTGCTCCTCCATTTCTAAAAGAAAATGAAGACGTTGACAGATTTTCCTCAGAATGTTCAATATTATAAGGTTGAATATAAATATCACAAAACAAGTTAAGTATCTTTCCATCACCAGGATAAACAATCAAATATACTCGAAAATAGTAACCACAAGGTTCAGCTTCAGTCGGAAGAAGATAAAGTTATACAATGATCTAGCAGCGAAGTCATTATGAAAAATGAGGGTTGAAAAAGGCTGACACAAACTTAAAATACAACAGCAATAAATACTTCATCTGACTAGCAATGGGTTTAAGACACGGTGGTGACCAAAAGCTGCCTCTTGCCCCTGAAGAGAGAAAACCTGACACCTAGCGGCCACTCAATAGATATTTAAAGGATACTTTCAGCAAACGAAACCAAGATTAAGCTTAGTTCTGGCCCCACTGCATAAACTTTGACAACTAGAGAGACTATGAAGTTTTCCTCATTTTTTTGTCCTATAATACAATGAATGAAAAAGGAGAGTGCACTGCTCAAAAATGCAAAGCAGAAACACAGAGGAAGCATGAAAGATTGATAGGTTTGGGAAATGTAATAACTCCAAAGGACAAAGCAATAAAACAAATTCAATAATATAAATTAAAATTTCAGCTCAGACTAGCAAAAGTTCACAGCTGAAAACAAACCATGTTCCACCACAACTGTCCAAATATAATACCATACAGATTCCATATCTTGTTGATTCTAATAAATGCAAATAATCTAGCCCAGTGATGGCGAACCGTTTAGAGACCGAGTGCCCAAACTGCAACCCAAAACCCACTTATGCATCGTCGGGTGCCGGGTGGGTATGGCCAAGTGGATGGGCGTGGCTGCGGTGGTAACAGAATGGGTGGGACTAAAAAGTTCAATAAATCAATTCCAACTTTGCAAGATCTTTTTTTTTCCCGCAAGAAGTTGAAATTGACTGATTGATTGAACCTTTTTTTTTTTTTTGCGCACGGTGGCAGAGGCCTAAAGTGAAAAGGTTTTATAAAACCCAGCTGAAGGCCTAGGACTGGGGCGACGGTGCGCGTGCCCACAGAGAGCGCTCTGAGTGCCACCTCATGGCACCCGTGCCATAGGTTCGCCACCACTGATCTAGCCATTATTTTAGCAAAACCCCTTGATCAGCAACCCAGAGCATCAGTTTATTCTACAGTGCTGTGTGACTTTGTGAATATAATTTTATTTACATTGTAAAAACTAAATTAGTATATAGGTAGTCCTCGACTTACAATCCTTCATTTAGTGACTGTTTGAAATGAAAAACAGCACTGAAAAAAATGGCTTATCACTAATTTTCACACTTACAACCACTGTCGCATCCCCACGGTCACATGAACAAAATCAGGAAGGTTGGCACCTGGCTTGTAATTATGGCAGTTGTACAGTTGTGATCATGTGATCACCATTTGTAACCTTCCTAGCCAGCTTCCAACAAGCCAAGTCAAAGGGGGGGAAAAGCCAGATTCACTGAATGACTGCATGATTCACTTAAGAACTGCAGGGATTCGTTTAACAATTCTAGCAAAAAAGATCATAAAATGGGGCAAAACTCAATTTAAAAAATTGTCTTTTTTTTTGGCTCCATTGTGATCATAAGTCAAGGACTATCTGTACTCTTAAAAGCAGATTTTCAGAGGACTCTAATGGCTTCAGAACCCTTGAAGCATCACTGGATAGCATTCAGCACAGCAGTTGGAAATTTACAACTCCCAAACAATTCTCTGTGTCCCCTAGAATTCCCTTTAACCTTACCTTTACTGCTGAAAAATCAATAGCATAATTCCCTGCCATTTTGATCTAAGAACGTGCACGCGGCAAAATGCTTAGCCATTCTGCTCTTTTTGTTGTTGTTGTTGTTGTTGATCCATAATTCTCCAGGTAGGGCAAACTTACCTGAAGAGAGCTGCTTGCTGGTTCATCTCCACACTCAGAGTTTCTTCCCTCTGCTACATCCTGCGCTGGATGTTTGTAAAACTCTCCATTTACTCGGGAAAGGAGCCAGGCCACATTATCGGGTTCCTTTTTCTCATCCTGGTCTTCCCCTTCTTGATCATCGGTATCTTCTCTTTGTCGTGATGTTTCCTCCTCTTTTGCAAGTTCACTTTGTCTCAGAGAACGTGAATTAGGAACAATCGGTTGCCCAAATGGCTTCTTCAGCAGGAGCTGCCGCTGAGCCTGTTTCAGGCTTTTCTGGTAAACCTCAAGCTGGCACAGGATGACTTGAGTATATCTGTTAGGATCTATTCCTTTGGGGCAGAACGGAACACCCCAATAATAGTGCACCACATCCGGTTCTTCACGTCGGCATTTCTTGTCAGTCCAAGGAAGGGTGCAAGTTGGCAGGGCGCTTTCTGGGAGGCCAGTCCTTTCGACAAGCTCAGCAGACCCACGTGTATTTTTGCCATGCTCAGCCTGATCTCCAAACTTGGAAGGACTTCCGTCATGATCAGAAGTACTCTGCTGCTGGACTTCCTTCTGTAGGGCTCCTGGGCAATCAACATGAGGATTACCTTTTAAGTAATTTGGGGAATGTTCCATTTCTTTATCTCTTGGTGTTAGAAGGCTGCTCTTTTCCAGAAAGAGCCTCCGGGGTGCCAGTTGCCAAGACCTCCGAGGTCTTTGGGGAAAGGTGGGACTTTGGATAATAGGTAACTCCTCTTCTGCACTAAGTGATGCCTCACTGGAGCAGCTCCCAGCCGGCGAGGAAGGGCCTGACCTTCCAAAAGGCTGGCTGTCCCCTGGAGATACAATTATGCTAGAGACTAGTGAGTTTTCAACTATGTCCTGGCTTAACCTCGTCAGTACTACCAGGGGACTCTTGGTGACATCTGTCTGCCTGTTCTCATCAGCTCTGTCACTTGGAAAGAGGGAGCTGTACTTGGAGCAAGGAGACTCAGAGGAAGCTGGCGGAACTTCAAGGAGCCGGGAATCCTCTGCTCCAGATGGGGGGTTTTGCACTGGAGACACTGATGCCTGGGAAAGGAGAGGCAAAGGCGCTGCAGCAGAAAACTCAGAAGGCTGGCAGCTCTGCGGGAAGAACAAGAGCAAACAGAAAATGAAAATGGTTTGCATGTATGTTTATATGTATTCTTCTAATTATTAAATCAAATTGACTGCTGTTCTACACAGTGAAAAAACATAAATGATACTTCCACATTAATCTGCTCGGTGATAGCCAACGGTGAAATTAGATATTACGCATCAATAAGTCCATTAGCACAGTAAAGCTTAACAAATATATTTGTTATATTTGCTCTCTTGTCAGATGCTTTGTCTAAGACTACGATTCCAAGTGAAGTTTACATAAGCCAGCCTTGGAGAAAAGTCATTTTTGAAACCTGCAGGGCAAAAAAAGAGTAAAAGGAGGGCATCTCTTCTACTTACACTTAGGCTCTCAGCAATGGCTTTTCTCAAAAGTTCTTCTTCTTCCTCCTCTTGTGAATTTAACTGTCTGGCTTCTTGCTCACTCATTTTTAAAGCCAAGGCAAACTGTTCATCTTCCGACATCTCTGAGAAGATTAAAATAAAATTATAAATTATGATTAAATCATGGACCCTTAATTCTTATACCTGAAGGAGCCTGAAGACTTTCAGCTTCAGAAGGGGAAAAATCAGCCTAAATTATATAAGAACCATTACATAGGAAATTATTATAGTGTCTACTCTCAAAATTAGAATAAGCAGTTCTAAACATAGCATAATACATTCTCAAAAATATCAAATAATTGAGCCCAAGTCAGGCAGTTAGTTAAAGTTCTCACAGCAACCATAACGTTGACTTTTTAGATACATTCATCATAATGAAATATTTTATCATATAATCATACGGCAGAAGCTCTATTTTGTACTTTCGCATCCAACATATAAATCAGAGAACAGAGGAAAACAGCAGACTGAACACAAAAGAATGGTTTAAGAATATTTTACAGAATAACAGAGTGAAACCTTGGAGGACATCTAGTCCAACCCCCTGCTCAGGCAGGAAATCCTATACCATTTCAGACAAATGGTTGTCTAACCTCTTCTTAAAAATCTCCACTGTTGGAGCATTCACCACTTCTGGAGGCAAGTCATTCCATTGATTAATTGTTCTAACTGTCAGGAAATTTCTCCTTCGTTCTAGACTATTATGTAATATATATGTAATACATTACATATTATATGTATATAATAGTATAGTTCTAGACTATAATATATATAATATATAACACTATTATATATTACATATATATTATATATATATTATAAATGATATAATATATAATATATATATATATATACATATACATTAGTTCTAGACTATTGGCAAAGCAGGATACTTCCTTCCTATTGAAAAACTTTTAGCTAAAATAAACCACAATACTTTTCCCTTCAAAAATATAAAGTGGAACAGCTCATGTGCCAAGTTCTCCAGAATTTGTAGTAGGGAAGAAAGAGAGAAAATAATACCTTGGAGAATGCTGTTATTATTCTGTTCAGAAAAAAAAATTCACTTAGAAAAACTGCAATAGCCAAGTAACTTTTAGCATGATTTCATAGGTGCTACTATCTACTTCCTAGCTCTAGCAAGATTTTCCAGAACATATTAGACAAGAACCACAAAAAAACCCGAGTAGCTTCAGAAAACATCTATTCACTGTTATTTCTGATCCACCATTTTTAGTTGGCAAAAAATATTGATGCTCAGAAAGCCACATGATAACTTCAGTGATTCTACTCTGAGTTTCAAAACCTCTGAGGATCTGAAGAATACTGTAAAACATTTTTCCATCAAATAATTATAGGCTGTTGTGAGTTTTTCCACACAACAATTCTAAGGGAAACAAAAGCATCAAAATACCGTATTTAGGAGCACAAAACAAAGAAAGAAAGCAGTATCTTGAACAAACACATCAACTTGCAGTAAGATAAGGAAACATTCTAGTGAAAATTCTCTGTGCACCAAAACAAAATACAATTTTGTGTCTTCAAGAGCATTCTGACATATGTTCAGTTCACATAAGAAATAACTCCAGAGGAGAATAAGAGCTGACAGGTAGATTACTGAACCCCATTTCTCTCTCAGTTGCAAAAGAATGACAGCAAGCCAGTTTGGCTGTGAAAGGAACATAAAAGCAAAACATGGACTTCTCAAAATCTGATGAAGATACAACTGAGATAAGATGGCGTTTAATTCTGAACTCACTTTCATGCTGCCACATGGGCTGAAATACGTGTTGACAGGGCATAATGCTACATCACATAGAAGCAGTCTATTGTCATCAAATCACTATTTATAGTGTAATCTAAGTTTCAAAAAAGAGAGCGAGGGAGGGAGGGAGAGAGAATAGTTGACTCAAAAAGCAAGAGAATTAGTGACTCTCCCACTTTCGGATCTGCCCCATTCACTTTCATTCCATTCTCCCATCATTTCCATAGAAATGCAGTCTTTGACTGAAAAAAGATTACCCACTTCTGTCTTAAATGGAAATAGTGGTGTTTAAATTTGTTAGCAAGGTAAGTAAAGTAAGGGTAAAGATACTGGAATTATAGTAATTATAGCAAAGCTATTGTAACTGTTCCATTGCTAATAGTTTTATTAATGGAAGGCACAAAGTTCTTATCCTTCATTCCCACTGCCCAGCACTTGTGTATCCCAACTGTGAATACATTGTACAACTAAGCTTTTTGTTCAATTGATTTGACCATGGACCTGGTGCAACTCAAGCACTACCAGAATACTTTAAAACAATACTTCCAGATTTAGCAACTTCCAGGTATACGGACATCCACTCCCCAAATTCTCCTCAATGGCCATGCTGCCTGCCTTTGAAGTCCATGCAACTAAAAACTGCCATGACTGAAAAGAGTAATTTAAAATGATTGTGGTTGTCTCTCAACCTTTTCCCACCCAGCCTATTCTACAGGAAGGCTGAGAGCAGCCATATCCTCCCGAGGTGGTCAAAGTGCTCACAAGCTGGAGGCTCTGGCAAATACTGAAATAATACCAGTATCTACCACAGAAGGAAGGCTTAGATGCCCTTGGCCCAAGTCAGCATTTCAAGACAAAGTGGTTTAAGTGTGCTGAATGCCTTGTTCTCCAGCACTGGAGATGGAGAATCCACCAATGGGTTTAGACTGTATTCCTGCCCAATCAGATAAAGTCAGCCAAAGTTGCCACACCCGTCCTGGACCATAGAGATCCCAGTCTTGACTTGATCTCGCCCAGGACAGACATGCAAGTTTGGCTCTTAGGCAGGTACAGTCTATATTGGTGGATTTCCCATTTCCCCAGTTTGCTGTGCAGTGCTGTATTCAGCACAGAATTTGGCTTCCCATTAGCAAATTTTCCCTTTCTTTCCCATTCAGGAACTTCAGAATTTCTTCTCAATTCCTGATTTGGGGGGAAATACGAACTGAGTTTTCTCTAAGGGAGGGGCTCCTTCCTTTCCTCCCCCTACCTAACCCAACAAATAACCTCCCTCACAGCCCCTAATTTGTTGGATTCAACTGAGGACTAACAGCTGTTAGTCCCCAGCCGACATTAAATCAATTCCCTTTCTACCAGAGCTTGCGGCTGCGGCTCTGGTGGCTGATTATGAGCGTCAGTGAAGGAGGCTTCTTTTCGCGATGTGCTTAGGCCTTCCCTCGGGAATCCCACGTTTCTGGGGTCTTTTGGAGTTGCGGCTGCAATTTCACCCCCGGCTTCAGTCTGTCGGCTCCATTTGTTTTCTTCAGCTCGCGGCCCTACGATCGTCCTTTTCTCGGCTGGAGGCGCGTGTGCGCCAAGAGGCCAGCACCAATCAGCTGTTAGGCGGCTGATCGGAGGGACGGAAAGCTCCCTTTTTGACACACTCACTATCCTCCAGACGCGGACCTTTCCCCTTACCTAAGGGAGCGTTCCCTCTGAATCAGCCTTACCTTCCAAAGTCCTGGACCTCGGCAGGCTTAGCTGCCTACTCGATGTGTGGCCACCATTTTGGACCGCGTGGTCTTAGAAGGTCCCATTCAAGTTCAGGGAGAATTCCGGAGGAAGGGGCTCCTTCCTCCTCCTTTACTGTGATTGTCCCCGGAGAAGGGGAGCTCATTGGGGGGGGGGTAACTAAGCAGACAGTCCAGGGAGAACAAACGGCTCCACTGTCGTTAGGCAGGCCACCATTTTGGGCGTCGGCCGCCATTTTGGGAGCCAGATAGGCCCATTTTAACTTGAGGCCTGCTATCTGGAGATACAACAGAGCCTCCAAACTCCCTTAGAGCACAATTTGTGGTCCTGTCTCGAGTTTCCCTGGTCTTTAACCCCATCTAAGATCTGATAGGCCTTCACAATTAGTCAGGCCCTCTTGGCCCTTTTCAGGTTTGTTCATAACAGACTTAACCCAGCGTGACTGGGATCACTAAATTACCAACTGGATTCCAGGCGTACCTTACCGTGCGTCTGTTCTTATCCGTACAATTAGTTTTCATCTGGATTCCAGGCATCCCCTGTAGTGCACCTGTCCTTATCCACAACAGCTCTATCCGGATTCCAGATACCCCCTGTCATGTGTCTGTCCTTATCCGCGCAACAGCTATAGCTGGATTCCAGGCGTCCCCTGTTGTGCGTCTGTTCTTATCCATGCAGCAGCTTTACCTGGATTCCAGGCGTCCCCAATAGTGCACCTGTCCTTATCCAGTGTATAATACTCTCTGGATACCAGGGGTCCCCCATCGTACTCCTGTGTTATCAGAGAATGGAGGATTCGATGCCTTCTGCAAAGGACGCTTTGCTGCCTTCATCGGCTCCTATGCATCCTAAATCCTCTAGTCAGGAGGTTGCTGGCAAGAAAAAGCAAGCCAGCCGGAGACACCAAGCCCTAGAAAGGGAATTTTCAAAGGCACAGAAAATAGCCAGGTTGGAGACCCCCCCAAGCCAAAGGGTCAACTTTTGACTTAACCATGAGGCCCCCCACCTCCCCCCTGGGGATATGGTCGACAGGGGAACCCTTACCGTCCCTGACACCATGTGGGATGGGCGGAGCTCTCCCCATTTCCCACTGTTACACGGGCTCAACACGGGCCACCCGAGGCTACCTTCACACCCACTGCGGCTGGGTTTCGACCGAGTGAGCCAGTCCCCTTCCCCACAGAGGACCGTTTGGCCTTGCTGATTGCTCAAGCGGTAGATCATGCTCTTGAGGCAAGAGCGCAAGCTCCTAGGCCAGCGGCTGTCATGCACCTGCCTATTCATCAACCAGTTTCTGAAACCTATTACACTCCTTCTTCCCCATCTGCGTCCACCTGCTCGGAAGACTCATCCTTTTGCGAACATGACATTGATCAGGGGATTCCGATGTCTGAGGAGCAGGAGGCTCCTCCCGAAGCTCTTCCTTTACCGGCCTCTTCAACCCTTCCTTCTTTGTTCCCTTGCTCCACAAGGTCACATCCACGGCCCATCTCAGGCCCGATCCTTCCTCAGCAGCAACCACCGTTTCCCCAGAATCGGAGGTGGACCCAAACTTCACCAAACCAGTGGCAGCTCAACACCATATTC